ACTCAAGAATTACACTCCTAGGAATTTACCCTAAGAATGCAGGAGCCCAGTTTGGAAAAGACATGTGCACCCCTATGTTTATCACAACACTATTTACAATAGCCAAGAAATGGAAGCACCTAAGTGTCCATCAGTAGATGAATGGATAAAGAAGTGGTACATAAACAGAATGGAGTATTATTCAGCCATAAGAAGAAAACAAATCCTACCATTATGCTCAGTGAAATAAACCAGGTGGAGAAAGACAAGTATCATATGATTTCACTCATCTGTGGAGTATAAGAACAAAGAAAAAACTGAAGTAACAAAACAGTAGCATACTCACAGAACCCAGGAATGGACTAATAGTTACCAAAGGGAAAGGGACTGGGGAGGATGGGTGGGAAGGGCAGGATAAAGGGGAAAAAGGGGCATTATGATTAGCACATGCACAGTGAAGGCAGTATAACACAGAAAAGACCAGTAGTGATTCTATAGCATCTTACTACGCCGATGGACAGTGACTGTAATGGGGTATGTGGTGGGGACTTGATAATAGGGGGAGCCTAGTAACTGCAATGTTGCTCATGTAATTGTACATAAATGATACCAAAATATAAATAAATAAAAAGATATTTTTCTTCTACAGTTTTGTTCTTTGTGGCACCAAACATACAGGCTTTGAAAAATAGACCACATAAAAATACATGGGTTAACAGGTTAAAGAAATGAACAGGACACAATACTTCATCCTGTTTTTCTAATGAAGCTAGGGCTGAATGGAGGGGTCTATGTTCAACTTTGTTTCCAATATCATGAACTTCTCCTATGTGGGATCCCTAAACTGATTTCATGTACTTGTCTCCAATATATGAAAAAGTATCAACTCCACCCTGCAATGTCATAAAGCCAAACTAAAACTCCAGCAATGTATGTACAGGACCATAGTATACTCATTCAACAAATATTTACTGACTGCCCTTTAGGGAAACAGTACACAGAGCCAACATCACAACCCCAACCCCAGGAGAATTTACATGGGGTTCAGGAGTCTAGACACATAAACAGATGTGCACCACAGTGTGGCCTGTACTCTGATGGGTGGTTTGCATGCTATGAAAACACCAGAACTGAGAAGCGTCAGCCACCTGATGAGAAGGCAGTCATCTTTCTTCTTTTTCTTTTCTTTCTCCCTCCCCACTAATGATGGTGTAGATAAAATGAAAGTTCCTGTGGCCAGGATTCTCACCTGGCCCTGGTCGGCTAGCTCACTACACACGTGTGGGCAATGCATTGCTATTGACTCTATGTAAAGAGCTCCACCCAGTGCTCTGGGTGACATGGTGGCATGGCTGCAAGCCTGCAGGAGAGCAGAGCAGAGGCTGGAGTGGTTGCAGTGCCGAGGACCGAGGTCCAGAGGATGGCTGTGCGGGCAGAGAGGCCCAGAGGCAGAGACCGGCTTTGCTGCATGCAGTGCAGACTCGCTCTGAGTGGATGGATTTTAGTGATTGCCTTGCCACTGTGGAAATAAAGTTGGGTATAACCCTTTCACCCCAAGAACGTTTTACTGTCATTTCTTTGGTCACACTGAATCCATAGTGAACTTGCCATGGGCTGAAACCCATTTGCAAGACAGACAGTCTGCTAAATAAGTCTGAATTTCTCATTTCCACCATCAATTTATGAGGGTTCCAATCTCTCCATACCCTCACCAACATTTATTGTCTTTTGTATTATAGCCATCTTGCTGGGTGTGAAGTGGTACCTCTCTTGTGAGTTGGATTTGCACTTGGGAACATTCTCTTCTGAGGTCACCTATTTTTCCCTGTGAAGAGAGAGAAGGCTCTCTGTTGAAGTTAGAGGGCAGGAAGCAACAGAAACTGCAATGGAGCAATTAAAAAAAAGGGTGGAAAGTCTGAAGCAGGCCCCAGGGAGGATGGAAAAGAGCACAAATCAAGGAAACCTAAAAAGATGCTAAGACAGAGCCCAGTGGTTGCTGGAGACCAGAAGACTAGGTTCTTATCTGATCTCCTATGAGGTTTTCTTCTCCAGGAAAAACTTATTTAAAAAATGACCTAACCAGAATTAGAATGTAGAGTTGCTCAGAGGATTTTCTCATTTAAAAGCAATGATAGAAGTGCTCCTGAAAAAACCATCATTTGTTTAAAGTCCTATAACACACATTAGAAATGACAGTCTGCATAAGATTCACTCTCCCTGACTTTTGGGCACAAAACATTTCTCATAGGTGTGTTCACTGCAGATCTTACATTTGTACTGCAAGGATTTACAGCTACAGTCATGGTGCTAAATTTACCAAATGACAAACTGCCACACATCCATCATCTCAATAATGGGTAATTCCTTTAAAATATGTCAGATAATCACCATCAGAAAGTGTCAACTTAAAGTCTTACATTAATAAGACTAAGAACAGCAATCATACATACAATAAGCAATTACACAAAAGAAAATGATTTTTAATTTAACCAATTACTTTATATGAGATACAGTCACAGTCTTCAGTTTAACTAATTAAATGCATCCATATATACTATGAAGCAAAGGTTTACTTAATTTAGAAACACACTGCTGCATATGTTGGCCACAATTTGTGCTCAGGGATCACATCTTGGCACTGACGTACATGTGAAACAGATTTACACCAAGGCTTTCATGGTATAAGATGCTATGTTGTTGTCAGCTATCTGTTGAGTAACTTACTATCTCCAAATTCAGTGGCTTAAAACAATAGCTCTTTGTTATTTCTCTCATTTGTGTTTTGACTGGACTCAGCTGGGTTTACTCATGAGGTCACAGGCACTGGGAGCTTAATTAGGACTGAAACAGGCCTCACTCACGAATCTGGGCCACTCCAGGCGGTCTCTCTTTCTCCACCTAGTTTAGCCCAAGCCTCTATACATGATGATTGGCTTCCAACAGAGTTAAAGCTAAAGTTGCCATGCATTTTAAGAACTATGTCAGGTAATCACCATCATAAAGTGATTTTATGGTGGCACAGAACTGGCACAACAATACTTCTGCCACATTCTCCTTGTCAAAGCAAGTCACAAGGCCAGCCTAGATCTAAATGAAGCAGCAATAGCCCCAGTGTCCTGATGGGAAGGAAGAGCAGCAGGCAAGCACAAGGATGGGAGGACTTGCTGGCAACCAGCTCCGGAAACATTCTACCACAGCTGTGAAGAATCTTACTGCATGTTTCCACTCTACCATTTGAGTTCATGATTGAAGCACTAGAGAGGGGATACTTTATTTCCAAAACTAGAACATTTTCTTAAGCATCAAGAATATTGTTGGCAAAGATACTCTTTGTCCCTGTGGAATGCTAACCTCAGAAAAACCATGGAGTCTTTTCTGAGGTTGTTGGAAGGATAGAAAACATCCTTCAGGAATGGTTTGAGTATAGTCTTCCCCAGATGGAATTCGTCACCTCCTGAGGTTATTTCACATCTTACAATTTATTAGGCCTGCATGAATATGATCACATTTTAAAAAGTGTATCTGATACTAAAAAAATATAGAGGTATCCCCAGCTATTAAATTTAGATAGTTTGCTATCCAATGCTTGGGCCTAGATTCTAGACCTCCTGAGGACCCTTGTTTCCCAGGCATGACTTACTGTTTACTGTAACACACACAAAAGGAATAGTATAATAATAATAAAGATCTTTGCCCTTTAGTTTCATTTTCCCCACTGGGACTTTCTGATAAAGGACATTGTCTCAGATTTCCCAGTTTGAGCTGCATATTATTAAGACCAAGCTGAACTCTTGCTGGATTATACAAGCACTCTTTAATTTAAAAAGTTAAAAAATTTTTGTTTTAAGCCTCAAAACACGATAGCTCTGGTTTTCATAACTGTTTTCTGAAGTTCCCAGAATTTGATCATTTGGATCACACACACAAAAATCACTGTGGAAGAAATCTCTTTAATGATTAATTTCCTTCCTCTTTAAGAGAAACAGACTAGAGGGTAGAAGGGACCTGTCTAGAAGTATTAATAAATAGACTGGTATTCACACAATCGATTAAAAGATATCCATCTCACAGATAAGCTGCATATCAGTAAAATCTAAATACAGTACAAACTGAATCCAAAAACACTTCAAAGAGGTTATATTCTCCCATGTTGCACTTCATTATGGATACTTTTTAGTTTAAAGCACACTGAAAACTGCCATTAGGGTTAAATCATTTTCCATTCCTTTCAGCATTTTATACCTTGATGTTTTGATGTTACTATGCAACAGCGCACACCAATTTCAGAAACTCAGTTTTTGCTTCCAAAGGCTATAATCCCGCCCCTCCCCCAAAAAAGAACAGGCCAAAGACAAGATTATGAATTTGATGTGGTTTTTAAAGAGCATTATAATATTGCTTTATAAAATCATAATCCCCAGCTGGTCATCTGAAAGAAAGCAGGTAGTTTATCCTAGGCAGCACTAGAGAAATGTCATTTCATTCAGTTCACTGCACTCCTGTAGTAAAGCTGCACTCCCTACTAAGTTAAAACACTTACGTGGGTCCAGTGTTGTCGGGGAAAGAGAATCACTAAAGAATATGGTTTGCAACACATCAACGTCGCGCAGGTGAAGGAGCAGACGCTAAAATCTGGGAAGGGACGAGTGGGGAGGCTGAGAGTCGAAGGGAGGTTTCTTCTCCGCAAAGCAGTGCTGAAAGCACTGACAGACGTCACATGTGGGCAAAACCACGCGTCCTTGCAGCTCGAAATAGAGAGGAGGGAAAACTTTCCCTAGCTTCTCCCATCCGTCCCTCTTCCCTCGGAAAAAACACTAGCTAACATGCTAACAGTGCCGGGCCACCGCACCCATCACCGGCCCGGGCGCAACGCCGGGAAGCTAGGGACCAATGCCCGCAGAGCCGGCAGACAGGAAGGGCGAGGGAGTAACGGGACACGACGGCCCGGCCCGCGGGAGAAGGGAGCTGGGAGACCGGCAGAGGGGACGCGGCCTGCCAGCCCGGGCCAGGGCCCCCACGACTACCTGCGAGGCCCGCTGCTACCGCGCGCAGTCCAGCTGAGCCCAGCCTCCGGGAGCGCCTACGGATCTTGGAAGCTCGCCGAGAGGGAGAATTACCAGCCGGCGGCGGGCCGTGAGCCGCCAAAGGGAGGAGCGGAAGCGGAGCGGCGCCGGGGCCCAGGCGCGATCACGTGGCCCGGGCCGCCTCACGTGACCCGGGCCGCCTCACGTGACCCGACGCCACCCGGGGCGCCCGGGTTCCCGGGCCTAGCCGCCTTCCTACCCGGTGTGATGCCCATGTCCTGCTGGGCCCCAGGCCCGAGCGCCAGGAACTTCTCTAGAAGCCGATTGGCCGACCAAGCCCAGCCCCCGGGTTCTGCGGAGAGTCGCGGCGGAGCTCAGTGACTGCCGGCACTTAAATGCCTTTGCTTTTCAGGCAGTAGAGACGCGCGAGGGGCTGGCTCCTGCCGCCTCCCCTGATGGCTTGGCCATGGGGAGGGTCCGCCAGACACCCGAGGGACCTAGGACGGAATAGCGACGGGAAACTCTCCCTGCCGCCGTAGTGATGCCGGGGTTCTTATTCACGAAGCTGAAGAATGAGCTTCACGACAGTTAAGGTAGGAGAGCAAGGTACAGGCTTCTATTTAGAGATAAAGTGAAAGAACAGAGCTCCCAGCTTATGCCAGGAGGGGACAAGAGAGTCTGTGGTGGTGCGTTGTTTAGGGAATTTATAGGCAGTTGAGAGACCAAGAGTTAGGTATGTGGATCTACTAGATGGTCTCTAAGTGTTTATTTTCAAAGAGACACTAAGTTTCTTATCAGTTTTCTAGACTATTTTAAGGAGTTAACATATGAAATTTACTGTTTTGATCTTTTCTCAGAATAGTAGTTTCTTGGTTTGGGAGTATATCAGTCAAGGCTGCTTGTTTTGCTTTCAAGGTGAGCTGAGTTACTGACTTGATTAGGGCTGGAGGAGGAAAAGCAGCATCTGGGTAAAGTTAAAGATAAACTGGGCCTTTTAGCGTGCTAAAGTAAATTTTACAATAGCCTCATTTAATTGATACAAACAATACATAGGCTATGCTGGGGTATTTCTTTATCTGGGGGATGTTCAAACATTCCCGGCCAGGTTATTCCTGGCTTTTTAGTTTTAACTAATCTTCACGGAAGAATGCTTTTATTCCTAGTTTGATATTTTACTTTAGAGAATTAATGTGACTCTGTCTTTGTTTAATTGTTTAATATGGAGTTTTGGTAGGGGTCTTTTTCTGGAGGCCCTCACCCCACTCTGACTACACCCATGGTCCCTGTCTCATTCCCCCCTCTACAGATGGAGACCCTAGCTGCTGCTAGGGAAAGGGGGCGACGACTGCTCTATGCTGAGAAGGGACGCAGTAAGGGGTGCAGCTAGGTCTCTTTTAGTGGTCAGTCAAGAGGGCTTCAGAAGATGGGCATTTTTATCTTGGGTTCTATTTCTGTCACTTTGCAGTTTTATGGCTTCTAGGCAAGATAGAACAAATTGTGTTATTAGGTTATGTAGCAACATCTGGAGTTGGATTTTCTATTCTGGAAGGACAGACTTGATGAGATTAAGAATGCATGGTTGAATATGAGAACTAGAAATAGTAAAACTTTAATTGTAATGAGAGGAGAAAACTAAAACATCTGGAAAATCATAGCTAGATATTTTGAAGAAGCTGGAATTCTGGAACTAGTTTATGTCTCAATGACTAGTATTAGGATTTAGTATGGATAAGGCTGCGTTATTGAAACATTATTTTTCTCTAAAATGACTTTCATTTTTATTAGAAGTAACTAGGTTAAGAAAATAATTAACAGTTGGCTTGATTATTTGCCTCTAAGTGCAGCAAGAAGAGCAATTGATTACACAGGATCTTTTAAATATGATTTGCTGGACCTTTTTGTAAGGAATTTCAGATTGAACTTTTAAAGGCCTCTTGAGGCTAGACAGCTACGCTAGACTTGCTTTCAGGCTTTGCCTGCAGCACCTGTAGATTTGGGTGAATTCTTCTCTTCTTGAGGTCTCCAAGACATCTTGAGGTTCTTACACTTGACAGGAAGTGACTTTCTTTACTCACCTGGTAAGGCTGCTGGGAACTCTGTAAGCAAGGTACTAGGTTAGTTCTTCCAAGGGGCTTTGTTGGCTTTATAAAGTCAATTTTAGTTCCTTAAAGCTGTTTATATTTGAGTTTATGCACATGTCTCTTAGGTATGACATTCCAGTCAACGTTTTGGTAGTATAACTTGTGTTTTTAATGGGTTTTCTTACAAGGAAAGCAGGTTTTTATTGAACTTATACAAATAAATATACTGCCATGAAATATAAAAATAGTCACTGAGTTTTTAAATTCTGGAGGGATCAGGTAGAAAGATAAAGTTTCAATTCTGCTTATAAAGACAGTTATTTAATAAACTGTTGTCAGCTTAAGAGAAAATGCTTAAAGCACTTTATCGGCAATATTTGAAACAAAAAGCCACAAAATCATCTTCTTTAGTTTACTTAACTCTATGTAACTAATACTTGTTCTGCTGAAATCTAGTTCTTTACTAGTTTAGGAGTAATAAAACAGTGACTGTAAATGACAAAAGACTTACAAATGACAATGGCTAAAAATCTGATGAGAGCTTACTGTAAGACAGTTGACATAAGGAAATTTGGATATTTATGTAACATAAAACATTCAGTAACAAAGTTTAGCATTATTTTCTTTGACAGTGATTTCTAGGTAAATATATATCAGATAAATACGCCAAATTAGCTAAATACTTTGTCCAATGAGAAAAAATTCCTCTGATATGTTCTAGGGGCCTTCTGGAAAATATCAGAGTTAACTAGAGGTAAAAGCACCTTTTTGCATTTTTTTTTTTTTGCACTTGCTTAAATAGGATTATAGGTTGCTATGAAGCAATACTTATCTATTTAATTAGAATGACAGCAGAATACTTCAAAGGCAAATAAAGAAGGTTACACAGTTGTTAGCATAGTTTAGCTTTTAGTCTTTTTAATATTAAGATCTCATTTTCTTAAATACTCGGACAGCTCATTGAGACTTTAGGCATGAGAAACTGCTTTGATAAAACAATTAGAGAACTCTTTGCAATCTTTCAACAGAAAGAGCAGATTAACAGTTAAGAAAACTTAGTCTTTTTAACTGAAAATAAAATTCTAATTTGCTGTGTACTTGATACTGAGACTCATTTGCTTTAATTTTATATAGCATGACCATATTAAATTCTACAAACTTTCTATAGCTTTTTTTAATGTTTTTAAAAATTAATTTCATTGCTTGGTAGAGAATTGATTATAGGGAGACAGTAGGATGGAGTTTACTGAAGTAAATGGATTCAGGATACATTTTGTGGACACAGCTGACATGCCTCCTGCTAATTTGGATGTGGGCATGAGATAAAGAAATGAGGAGAGGAGAGATGACTTCTAGTTTTTTACATCTCCATTGTCTAGCATATAGCAAATAACCAAAGTTTATTTCATAAATGAGTGACTACTGATTTAACATTTAAAAAGTAGAAACCTTTCTTCCTACAGAACTAAATAAAGTTCAGAAATAAAGCTACCATGTGGGCAGGAGATGATACATCTTTTCTAGGGTCTATCTGTACTGTGTCTTTGTAACATGGATAGTCTACACAACTGGTTCATGTCAGCATTATATGCCTAATTCCAACATTAACAATAAAGGCTAATACTTTTACATGTATGCAGTGAGTTAAATCTTATTAAACATTTTACATATGCTTTCCTAAATCAACAGTTTCCAACCTTAGACTATGGTGCTAGGGACCGCTGCCCCAGAGATTACATCTATCTACAAATTTGATGCTTTGGAGAGTTTAATCGACCTTCTCAAGTCCATCCATAGACCAACCTCAGAATTAGGAAGCCCTGCTCTGCTTAGTGTGTTATTATTGCAAATCATTATGAGAACCTAGATATTATTAGCCTAGCCCTGGAGATTTTGGAGAAATGCTTTCAAAGAGTTTACCTTTATTAATGTCCACAAAAAACAAGTTACCTAGAACCAATATTAATTTAAAGGAGATCTTTCCATCCTTATCAAAACTCTACAGCTTTTTACATTCAGTTCTCCGTCTTTAAATAAACAGTTGTACTTTAGAACAAAGTTACTTTCTTTTATCAAAAGACACATTCTTTAGCATGCAGAATGAATTTCTATTCTTTATACTTTCTCTTATTAAAACATACATCTTTTAGCATAGAGAAATGTTTTCTTTATTTAAGTAGTTTTAATTAGAACTTAAAAGCATTAGGAACTTTAATTTTCAGTGGACACTGAGAAGTAGGCTATTGTAAACTGTTAAACTAACATTCTTTAAATTGACAAATTTATGAACACATAATTTCTGTAACCATGAGCTTTACAGCATAGTCTCTAAGCACAAAGTATATCTTTTTAACTTAGCAAAACTTTAAGATTCTAGGTCACCACAAAAATTCCCAGGCAGCAGTCAGGCACGCACACTGCAACATACAATTATTAAGGAGTTCACTCATTTCTAACAACTATGCTAGATTATTTACAAAACTTTTACTGAACTTTAGACAAAGTCAAGCTTCTAAGCAATTTATTCTTGAAAGATTTAGCAGATAACATCAACTTAAACGACTTTAGGTAAACTTAGGCAGCTGATAACTAATAAGGACATGTCTATTTCAGTTCAACTTAAATTAGTATTAATGCTTAATATTTTCTATTAGAATTTCTGTAAATTTTAGAATGCCCAATTTTCACAAGCATTTGTCTTTAAATCAATTTTATTAATACCATCCAGAGGTAGAAAAATCTTTCATTTACACACTTAGACACACAAACATACAGATTGAAACATAATGACTATAGTTAGTAGTACTTTTCATAAAAGAACATATACACAGACAGATAAATTGATACAGAGATTTGAGTTACTGATATCTAATTTCCTTTCTTTCTAGCTTATTTGACTAAAAGTATCTCAGTTTTCAAGAATACACTCTATGGGCGAGCAGTTTATGTCTAGATGACCCTAGACTAACAGGGCCAATGAAGGCTCTAAACTGATAGGGACTGTGTGTGTCCAGGGGGCTGGAAATGAAATGCAAGTACAATTCTAGCACTAATCAGTTAAAGCTAGGCTGTATTGTAAAAGATAAATTTCTTCTGTTTCAGGGAGT